AGGCTGGCCTTGAACTCACAGAGATCCACCTGCCTCTACCTCCCAAGTTGCTGGGAATAACAGTGTGCATCACCACCACCTGGCAAAATTTTAGTTTTTCATTGGTGACTAGGACAGATGTTATAAATATTAAAGACTGACTCAAGTTGTATGTTCAAGCATATTTATTGCTTTTACAGTTAGTTTTAAATGTCTTTACAGGGGCGTAGGTCTGTTCGATATGGAGATTTCCAGTACTGTGATCAAGCAAAATCAGTCATTGTGGTAAGTGATTTAAAAACATGTCTGTTATTTTTTATCAGCGTAAGACTAACCCTATATTTAGCATTTATTAAGACATTTGTATGCCTTTATAAACCCACTGTCACCTAAGTTGTGTTTAAAGATCGTGACTCTTGACATTGGATTGTTCCGGTTCTATCAGAGCTATATAAGATTGCTAACTGGGAAGAAATTACACTTTTGGCCACATCAGGTTTTTACCTAACAAAATATTCCATACCTGAAGTCCAAAGACAGGTGGCAGACTTGGAAGAACCATTTCTGACACAGATGTGGTATGTGATGTGTGCGTACCTAGAAAATACGCACAGCCATACATGGTAAAAGTAGGTTGTGGACATAGGGTACCGAGAGGACTCAGGCAGGAAGTAAAAGGAAGGAAAGTTATGTGTTCAGGAAGTATTGCTGGACTCCAGTAGATGTTTCTAACAATGACAAACAACCAATGGAACATGGGGACACGGACTGTACCCTGACTAGGAAATCAAGGTATCTCGCTCCTGCTGGAAGGACTTCTGTCCAGAAAAACAGGCTGTCGATGAGTTCAGTGTTCTACATAGTGAGTTCCAGGACAGCCAGGGCTATGTAGAAAGACCCTGTCTGGAAAAGAGGAGGAGGATGAGGAGGAAGGGTTTTGAATATTGATTTTACAGCAGTGTGGACACTGAGCAGTAGTACTGAACTGTGTCCTTAGACATAGTTAAGATGATGAGTTTTGTGGGTGTGTATTTTAGTATGGTTTTTCAAAGCTGATAATGCACATCTGTGCAGTGAACTGAATTATTTAAGTAAATAATGTGTTTTTAAAAATTGAAGGCAGAAAGCAGGCTTACTTGAGAATTAAAGCTATTTGTAATTGGCACTAGAAAGTTTCAGATATGTGACAGAGGCAGTGGTGACTCACAAGGTGAGGCCCTCACTGTTGCCACCGAATCTCGTTCTGTCTGGAAAATGACCCGAGTCCCTGTGTTAAACAGCAGCGCTTTCTCATGGACACATGGCAGTCGTGTGGGTGTCGCGGGTGGGTTAAGAATGTTAGCGCCTCCACCTCTTAGACAGCTGTTCTAAGTCAGTCTCTTCTCCTCCTTGTTGCCTTCAAGAGGAACACCAGCAGACAGACCAAGCCGCTCAAAGTTCAGGTCATGCACTCGTCAGTAGCTGCGCATCAGAATTTCGGTCTGAAAGCTCTGTCTTGGCTGGGAAGTGTTATTGGATATTCAGGTAGGTTTAGTTTGTCAAGCTGTATCTAAACAACTCAACAAAGGAACTGTTTCCAATGACGCAGTGTGGAACCCTTCACAAACAAAGCTGCAAAACGCTGCCATAATTAAATGTTAATGATAATACAGTTTAACTAATATTCATTTAAGTAATTTAAATGTTTGGCCTCCTACAGCTTTTGTATAAGACCAGTACTGTGCATATCTGTAAATGTGTACATTGGAACATACCAATTTATGTTTGCTAGTTTTAGGTTTTTCTTTTCTCAACTTACAAAGAAGACAATTTGTAATACACCATAATTATGAACTTCTTGCCAAAGCCAAAAATGAAAGTTGGGGTCTAGCACTAAAGGGCAAGTTAGGGATAGATTTCTGCTGGCTGTCATATATAGGCAAGACATTATAATGTTACTGTAAGGAAGACCCCTTAACATTTGTTTTGAAGGCTGTTAGAAAAACACCACACTGTGAACTGATGATGAAAAATACAGACAGGGCCAGATGAGGTGGCCGCGCAGTGGTGGCACACACCTTTAATCCCAGCACTCGAGTGGCAGAGGCAGGCGGATCTCTGAGTTCGAGGCAGCCTGGTCTACAGAGTGAGTTCTAGGGCAGCCAGAGCTGTTACACAGAGAGACCGTGTCTCAGGGAAGAAAAAATACAGATGAGATACACCGTATGCATGTGTGCTGGGAGAGCTTGTCCAGAGCGTGCCATTTAGAAGATGTGAGGGTCTGTCTTCCAGGCCTCTCAGACAGAGCTGTAGTGGATTTCAGTTTGATGGGGAATGTATTGTGTAGCACTAATGACCCCTGCTGACAATATTGCAGTGTAAGGGTCCCACGTTGTTCTTTGAGCCGCTGTGTGCTGTGGCTGCCTTACACACGGTAGTGTTCAAGACTGGTTTCACCACCCCTGCCTCCCTTAGCATAAATACCTAGAGAACAGCATTACATCAGCAGATTGGGGAGTCTTTTCTCCAATTCAATTCATTAGGGCAGGAAAGGCTAGTACCTTTCTGACAGACATTAACTTTGACATCTTGCAATTAGTGTTGTGATTTGAGATTTCTTAATTTTTTCTCCTTTTTGTAAAAATAAAATAGTTCAAAAGCCCCTTGCCCGGTTTGACCTTCACTGAGCCGTGTGTCGCTCTACTGGAGCCCACTGAAGTGTCATCCCGTTACACTCAGCGTGCCTTTCTGTCACGTGACCACTCTTCCTTCTGTTTAAAGATGGCCTCCGCCGGATTTTGTGTCAGGTCGGATTACAAGAAGGGCCGGACGGTGAAAACTCCTCTCTGGTGGACAGACTGATGCTTAATGATTCCAAATTATGGAAAGGTGACTTGCTTACTGCTTCTAAGGGTGGGCTGTCAAAGTTGGGTGGGTTTTTAATTTGGAAATGTTAATAAATATAGTTCTGCTTTTTAGAATTATAATTATAGTGCTAGATTTAGTCCCTGGCAAATACACACAAACTTGTAACCCTTGTAAGCCCTATAACCTTACTTTTTGAAAAAAAAAGTTTGTAGGGGAGGCCTATGACCTAGATTAAACAGCCTTTATATTTTAGTGCAGTATCACATTTAGAATTGGGCAAGGTAGCATATGCCTGTATTCCCAGCACTCAGGAGACCAAGGCAGGAAGATTGAGAGTTCAACACCTATCCAGGCTACAGGCTAGCATACAGATAACAAGGCCCTGTTTGGAAAGAACAGGGGGAGGAGTAATTTGCACACATTTTCTTTTTAAAAGCACAGCAGTGTGGGGGAGAGCTCTGGCTAAGAGGGCACACTGCTCTAGCAGAGGACCCAGGTTCTGTTCCCAGCACACACATCAGATGGCTGACGACCACCTGTGACTCCAGTGCCAGAGGGATCTGGCCCTTCTGGCCTCCATGGTCACCTGGACAAACACACACACACACACACATGTGGATAATTCAAATTAAAATAAAGGGATTAATTACAAATGCTTTGTTCTGAACAAAGTATAGAGAGTTTTGTTCTGGGGGTTTGAGTCCCATAAAGCTATAGAAGTGGAGTTCTGGCTTGTCTCACACTCTGCTCTTTCCTGAAGGCGCTAGGAGTGTGTATCATCAGTTGTTCATGAGCAGCCTGCTCATGGATCTGAAGTACAAGAAGCTGTTTGCTGTTCGATTTGCAAAAGTAAGTAGAATTTTTTTCAGTTTTGATGATAAGTAAGTTATTTAAGGAATAAGTATACTATTTTGGGCTCAAAAAGTATTAGTATTTAACGGTGAGATGTGAGGTTATCTATTTGAAAGTCTAAGAAACTTGAGAATCTTTTTACCTTTTACCAATAAAGGTGTGACAAGACCATGTGCCTCCACCCCCGTAATACATAAATATGTAGTGATTGCTAGGCGGTGGTGGCGAACACCTTGAATCCCAGCACTCGAGAGGCAGAGGCAGGCAGGTGGATCTCTATGAGTTTGAGCCCAGCCTGGTCTACAGAACAAGTTCTAGGACAGTTAAGGCTACACAGAGAAACCCTGTCCCGACAAGCCAAAAAAAGAGGGGGGCCAGGGAGAGTGGGTAGCAACATAAATATGCAATGATTGGGATTTGAAATGATGACAACTTAACCCCATGCCATTATAGATGGTTTAATCCTATTAAAATTCGCAGAGGCAGCATGCCTCTTGGTATGGTTTGGGAATGGTGAATTCCAGACGGCTGACAGAGTCGGCTTAACTTCTGCTTTCAGCACCATGAGGATGCTAAGTCTTTATGTGCGCGTCCAAGTAGGAGCACTTAACTGAGGAGCACATGGTAGTCTTCTCAAGAGCTCTTTCAGAACATCCATATTTGTGTCCTCATCCCAAATCTAATTGTTGGCAACCTCGCAGGAGTCACATGATTCTCATGTGTGTTCCGAAGCAATGAAAGGCTGGTTTGGAGACAGATAGCATGATGTTGCTGTGTCCCCCCACCCCCTCCCTCAGTGTACAGTGGCACCTTAGGGTCTTAGAGGTCTGCCTGTCTCCAGAAGAACCTGTTAGCACAGCTTTCTGCAGCGAATCGGTATTGACCCAGCACCTAATTGCTAGTGATCCTTGGAGTCTCCGATGTCTTGCTGGTATTTTCCTGTCGCCACCGTCCCCAGCACTGACCTCAGTCTAACCCTAACCATTGGTCACTGGGTTAGAGGAATCTCCCCTTGTTGTTTAGAATTACCAGCAGTTGCAGAGAGATTTTATGGAGGATGATCACGAGCGAGCAGTATCGGTGACTGCTCTGTCTGTCCAGTTCTTCACCGCCCCTACTCTGGTGAGTAGTGTCTGCCTCTCCTTCCTGACTCATAGCCGGCACTCCTTGCCTGTTTTTGCCTTCTTAATAGAACTATGAGCGTTTGCAGAGTGATTATGTGACAGATGACCACGACAGAGAGTTTTCAGTCGCAGACCTCTCGGTTCAGATATTCACAGTACCTTCACTTGTAAGTACTGAAAGACTAGAGAACGCTCTTGTTTTCCATTAACAGAAGTAAAGCCTCAAAATCATGGAGGTAAGACCTGTGTGCTCCTGAATAGGCTAATACTTCGTGTAGGAGGCAGTCGGATTTCAGATATCACCAAGCACACACAACATATCTTTGAATATCAAAGTAATAATGGAGGAGAATTGGATTTCCTTGTGGTTTTGGACTGATAAGTTAACATTTAGCTGGTTGGTTTATCAAATATATTCCTGACATTTGAATCAGATAACATGCCATGTACCATCTTAGATCCTGAAGAATCTTTCCCTCACAAGGAAAGAGTAGCTGAGGCAGCTGAGTCACACTGCCTGGGCTTGTTTGCGACCCGTGTTCACCAGGTGCCCTCAGACCTTGTCAGAGTGACCACTGCTGGGATGAAGCAGCATGACAAAACGCAGCTCGGGGAGGAAAGGGTTTATTTGGCTCACACTTCCACATTGTAGTCCATCAGTGGAGGAAGTCAGGACAGGAACTCAAACAGGGCAGGACCTGGAGGCAGGAGCTGATGCAGGGGTCATGGAGGAAGCTGCTTACTGGCCTACTCAGCTCACCTTCTTATAGAACCCAGGGCCACCTGTCCAGGGATGGCACCACCCACCACGGGCTGACTCTCACACATCAGTCACTAATTAAGAAAATGTCCCACAGGCTTGCCTACAACCCAATCTTATGGAGGCATTTTCTCAACTGAGGCTCCCTCCTCTCAGATGACTCTAGCTTGAGTCAAGTTGACATAAAACCATCCAGGACAGTCCTGAAGCCTCCATTAATTAAGTTTTATCAGGCATGGTAACTGAAGATCATACTTCATTGAACAAATTTATTAGCATTTATTAGGCAGGGCTTTTAAAAGTGAAATGGTGAATAAACCAGATGAGACTCGAATAAATAAGTAAAACGCTCTGCCAGAGGAACTGGGTTCAGTTCCCAACACCACATGGCAGCTAAAAACTGCCTGTGGGTGGGCTGGGGGGAAGGGGAGGGGGGCAGGAAGGGAGAGAACAAGGGAATCTGGCTATTATGTAGAAATGAATAGTATTGTAAAATAAATGGAAAAAAATAAATTTAAAAAAAAAAAAAACTGCCTGTAACTCCAGTCCGCGGGGTCTGATGTTGCTGCTTTCTGGCCCCCTCAGGTACCAGGCTGGAACGCAGTGCATGGACATATGTGTAGATAAACAGCAATACACATTAAATTTGCTTTCTCTGAGAGAGAGAATAAGGCCATAGGCCTTTCCCAGAGCCCAGAGGCTTCGCTTAGGAAGGTTCTTTCTATGGAGACTTGAAAGGAGGATGTATGCAGAGTGCCATGGAGGGGCTTTGCATGTGGGAGCAGGAGCTAAGCATGCTTGGAGACCCTGAGCTCAGGGCAAGGCCATGGAGCTTTAGGAACAGCTTGTACTCGCTTTCCTAACAAGTACATTTTCTAGTGGGGGGAATTTTTTTTTCATTTCTTTTTGTTAAGAAATGTGTTCTACTTGGGCGGTGGTGGCACACACCTTTAATCCCAGCACTCAGGAGGCAGAGGAAGGCAGATCTCAAGAGTTAAGGGCCAGTCTGGTTCTACAGAGCAAGATCCAGGACAAGTAGGACTGTTACACAGACAAACCCTGTCACAAAAAAAATATATATATCTTTTAGTAATTTGCCCATTAATAAGTGCTACTATAGGGCATATCAAAGAATTGCGTGTTTATCTTAAGAGCATGAGAGGTACTGGAACCACTGTATTTTGATTTATCGTGTGTGCGTGCGTGTGCACATCTCTCTATAAGTGTGTGTATGGGTGTGTGTATGAGTACGTGTGAGTGTGTGTATGTTGTACGGTGCCAGGGCTCTAACTCAGGCCCCACACATGCCAGGTCAGCTCACTCTACTTCCCGCTATAGCTCCAGCCCCTCGTTGTGGTTTTGCTGTTTGTAAGATGGGGTAACTGGAGGAAGACAGTGACTCTGGGGAACTTAACTAGAACTTAGCGCAGCGAGGCCGGCTGAACCACCTGCTGCCAAGCCTTACACCCGAGTGTGAGCCTGAGGCCCGAGGCCCGGGTGGAAGGAGAACAGGACTGAGGGTTGTCCTGTGACCTCCCTGGAAATGTGGATAAACAGGGTGTTCAGAGTGTCACGCCCTCTGCTGCCCCCTGCTGTCTGGATCAGACCTGTTTCTGACCTCTTCAACTGGTCAGCCCCGCCCTACTGTCTCCCCTGGCCTGGCAGACATGTCTTCGCTGGGGTTGTCGTGTTCGGCTTCTGAAGTTTAGAATCCTGGTGCTTGAAGAAAACGCCTTCCTAGTTAGAGTCAGCCTGGCAGGTGCCCTGGAGAGTAACGTTGGAGCTGGGATGATGGCTCCCTGGATAGGAGGGCGTGCTGTGCGAGCAGTAGGACCCAAGTTCGTATCCCAGCTCGGGCTGGAGTGAGAGGAAGATGGTTGGCCTTTGTTAGCCCGCTTAGCTGAGAAACAGTGACTGCCAGGTCAGTAGGAGTGAGGGGAGGACCATAGGACACTGGCCTCGGCATCCCTGTACACACACGGACACTGAACACACGCGCACACACACACGCACACACACATGCACACACACACATGCACAGACACACAGACACCCCAAAGCAGGGGGGCCAAAAGAAGGAAGAGAGGAAGCATGCGGGCAGGGTCTCAGCACCCATGGGGGACGTTAGAGAAATAGTCCCAAAGTTGCTCTCTTATCATCCCATGCTCGAGGTGGCGCATCACTCCTACATCCAAAGAGCACACACTAAAATAAAATGGCAGAGTGAAAACAGTGAACGAGCACGTGCAAACAGACCCAGAGAACACTGTCATGCTCCGTGGTCAGCAGTCGGTGTGGCTCTTGGCTTCACGGAGTATGTGTGTGTGGTGGGCATTGGTGTACCCAGCAAGTTACATATGGAGAGTACTTCATATGGAGAGTACTTAATGCACACAGTACTTAATGTACACAGTACTTAATGTACACAGTACTTAATGTGCACAGTACTTAATGTGCACAGTACTTAATGTACACTCGAGGAGCTGCAGACCCAGAACTCGCTGCCCCTGTCCACTCCCTGCGCGTCGCTGGCCGGATGCGGGGCGGCCTCACGACTTCCCTGGCAGTTTGCTGTCTTAAGTATTTGGAAGAATTCTCCAGTGTACCATTTGGGCCTTGAAATTTCTTTGTGGAAACATTTTATATCAGTTATATTTCTTGAGTAAATTTAGGGCTATTCAGGTGTTCTACTGTTGTTTTTTAATAAGCTGTGTTTTTTTTTAAGAATTTGCTAATTTAGCTGGGTGGTAGTGGCACACGCCTTTAATCTCAGCACTCAGGAGACAAAAGAAGGCAGATGTCTGAGTTTCAGGCCAGCCTGGTAATCAAAGTGAGTTCCAGGACAGTCAAGACTACACAGAAAAACTCTGTCTGGTGGGGGAGGGGGGGATGGAATTTGCTAATTTATCCACATTTCCTATTATATTGATTTACATGGTCTAGTATTTTTTATATAATACATTTCAAATCTCTAGTTTTAAAAAGTCCCTCTTCTCTTTTTAAAAAAAACAAAAAACAAAAAAAAAAAAACAGGGTCTCAGTAGCCCAATCCGACCTCCAGTTTAACAATCCTCATGTTTTACTTGATAGGCTTACAGGCGTGTGCTCCCACACCCAGCAAGACTTGCTCTAGAAGTAACTGAGGGTTCCCAGTGGAGAGCCTGGAGCTTCTGCTAGCTCGCCTGCCCTTGCCGAGCCCTAGGATTTCGGCCCCTCTCAGGCTTCTGTCCTACAGGGCTTCAGCATCTAAGGACTGTCCTGGTGAACCTGGAAGAGTATTGGACTCAGTTTCTGAGCACTCCTGCGTTCTTACTAGGACTCTGGCCTCACAGCTAAAGAGGTTCCCTGCCATTATTATTATTATTATTGTTATTATTATTTTATATATTTTTAAGACAGGGTTTCTCTGAGTAGCCCTGTTGTCTGTCCTGGAACTCACTCTGTAGCCCAGGCTGGCCTTAAACTCACAGATCCGCCTGTCTCTGCCTCCGAGTGCTGGGATTAAAGACATGCGTCACCACCGCCCGGCCTTCAGTTTATTTTAACTGCCCCAGTCAGCATTCTCCCGATCAGATCCTGTAGCATTCAGTTTAACCAGAGCATGTCCCTGAAACATTACTTTTATCCAGTCTTACAGGGGACTTTAACCTTTGTGAAGATGTTGTAAAATGTATACTGAATGTGGCGGTGCAAATTTTAATGTGAACTAGAAAAAAACCTGAGTTAGGGAGTGATAATGTTTTATAAAGCAAGTTGGATTGCAGGCCTGTGCATCAAGTGGTGGGGTCTGTGTTGCAAACTGTACCAGTGTTTAGAGGTCACAGTGGTCTTGAAAGGGTAGCAACAATTTAGACAAAGCTCGAGTGCAAGGACCAAAAGCATTCTGTGTAACCTGGGGAATGTCCTCCCACCATTTTAGACCCACCGTCTCTAACCTGAACCTGAACCGCCAGTGCCCTGGCTGTGAGGCTGCCTCCCCCAGGTGTTGCTGTGCCCACTAAGCCTCCCTTCCTCCTCCTCCTCCTCCTCCTCTTCCTCCTCCTCCTCCTCCTCCTCCTCTGTGCTAAGCTGCTGCAGCACAGCTTTTCCAGCCCAGTGGGGTTGCCTCACGTTCCTGAACTTCCTAATAAGTGCAGCCGGCAGGCAGGAAGGAGAGCCCGTTCTTGTAACCTGTTGGGACTTGTGCTCCCTCACACCCCCATGATCCTCCCTGGAGAGTTCTTGGCCATTCTTACCGTTCATTTTCCCTAGTTACGGTAGGAAGTCTAGATTTACTTCACCACCACAGTTCTCCTCTAATACAGCAGGTCAAAATGAAACTGTGTGCCATAGAGTGGAGTGAGCAGCTCCCTGGATGGGCATTGGGATTCTTAAGCCTTTGTTACGGGAGGAGGTTAGTGATATTGTCAAAACTTGGACTGTACCCTCTCTCAGTGATTCTACTTGCAGGGAGTTATTTTTGCCGTTTTACATAGTGGGTTTGTGACATCTTTTGTAATAACACAGACCTAAAAACAGTGCAAATGACAGCACTCCAGACCTGGCTAATATGGTAGCAAAGTGTGCCTGATGATGGTTACAATGAATGAGAGAGATTGTATGAACTGCTGCAGGATGCATTCGTCATAATTTTCTTCATAGTAATGCCAATAATAATTGGTGGTTTGGGGAACTGGTTAGCCCCCTTAATAATTGGAGCTTCCGACAAGCAGAGGAAGTAGTTTCACACTGAACTTCAGAAAGTCAGTGATGTAGACCTGGACCCTGAAGTAAGCACCCACACTTACTGTATAGTGCGCATACATGGCTCAGTTAAGAAGTTACGTCATTACGGTGGCCTGGGTGGACCCTGCACACCAATGCTACACATACACGCGTGTGGACAAACACTCATCCACGTAAAATATAGATGAATCTTTAGAAGGATCTGGTGGTGCACTTGTGAGCTGAGATACTTGTGTTGAGAAAGTTTAAAGTGTGGGCACTAAACTAGTGGTAATGGCTCTTGGTTCCCTGGGGCACAGGCTTTGATTACCAGACTTTGTGATGAACTGTTGTAGGCCCGGATGCTCATCATGGAAGAGAACCTGATGACTGTTATCATTAAGGCTTTCATGGACCATTTGAAACAGCGAGATGCTCAGGGCAGATTCCAGTTTGAACGCTACACTTCCCTCCAAGCCTTCAAGTTCAGGAGAGTTCAGAGCCTTATCTTAGATCTCAAGTGAGTGTTTCCTCAATTTCCAAACCAATTACAGCTTGAAAAATGCCACTGTTTCTGTGTTCACCCACTGTTGTCTGTCTGTGTAGGTATGTGCTGATTAGCAAACCAACTGAGTGGTCGGATGAGCTGAGGCAGAAGTTCCTAGAAGGCTTCGATGCCTTTTTGGAATTACTGAAGTGTATGCAGGTATGTATAAACTGAACATACTTCTGTGTGAACACATGTCTGTATGCTTCCCCACCCCCCATTTTGGATGCATTTGGAAAAGATCAGTTGGATCAAGAAATTCTTTTATAATTGAGGCTCCTTAAGAGTAGATTAAATGAGATCCCAGCAAAAGATGTTTCAGTGTGCCAGTGAGGTAGCTCAGTATAGGAAAGTGCTGTCCCCAGAACCCACAGCAAAAATAAGATTTTTTTTTTTTTTTTAAGATGTTTTGTTTTTAAAAGCACTGGCTACCGTTCCAGAGGACCCAGGTTCAGTTCCTACCATCCATTCACTTGACAGCTCTAAACCATCAGTAACTCCAGTTCCAGGGGTTCCAGTGCCCTCTTCTGGTCACCACAGGTACTGCATGTACCTGATGCACCAATGTGTGCAACCAAAACATACATGAAAAAAAAAAATTTAATTAAAAAAAAAGATGTTTGGGTTCTCATTAGTACTGCTTTTTTGAGAGTTTGCAAGTCCTTTTCTGTGGTTGTTTTGTTAATGTACTTTCTTGGAAATATATTTAAGTTCACTTGAAAAACTACTTGTTTTTGGATGCTTGGTAACAAGCTCAGGACCTGTGCCTGGATAGTAGGCAGGCACTCTCTCTCTAAGCCTACCCCCGATCAACTCCCAGCCTCTGGGGTTTGTGTGTTGCAAAGAGGGGGTGTTTTTTCTTGTATTTGTGTGTGTGTGCACTTGCTGATGAATGGATGCCATAGCACACCTGTGGAGGTTGACAGACATGGCAGTCTGCACAGTGTAGGTCTCAGAGTGACTTTGGTCTTCAGGCTCTGCTGCCCACTCAGCCATCTCACTGGCCTTTGTTTTATCATTAGTGTTTCCACAGTTCCTTTTCTGCTTGGTGGGATCTGTACATAGTACAGGCTAGACCGTTTTCCTGATTAGTCCCCTTGTGAAGCATACGTCCATGCAAATCACAGTCTAGGAGAAACAGTCAGCGTGGAAACGGTGTGAACACACAAGATGGGACCTCTCTTAAACCCTTAGGAAAGAGCTGTTTTAAAAGGCCATCCCTTTGGGACATGGCGGAGGTGTTCTGTTAGTAAATGGTTCGTACACACCGGGATAGCTTGGCCACTTCCTAAAAACGATTGCATTCTTTTGTATCGAGGTCTGTTTTCATTCTGGCATCTGAACGCTTTGAGCTCACATTAGTGAGGAATTATAAAACTTGTCTTCTTCTTTTTTTTTTTTTTTTTTTTGGTTTTTCAAGATAGGGTTTCTCTGCATATAGCTTTGCGCCTTTCCTGGAGCTCACTTGGTAGCCCAGGCTGGCCTCAAACTCACAGAGCTCCGCCTGGCTCTGCCTCCCGAGTGCTGGGATTAATGGCGTGCACCACCACCGCCCGGCAAAACTTGTCTTCTAAGGCAGCTGTATAGTATATTTGTAGGTTGAGACTACAAGACTGTCCGGGGCTCAGGATGGAACTCTGCTGAAGCAAGAGCTTAGTAAATGTGGCACCCTGGGTTCAGCCACCACTGGCACACAAAGCCTGGCGAGGTGTGGTGACACGTGTCTATAATCCTAGTGTGCAGGAAGCTGAGGCAGAGTGATCATGTGCTCCAGGCCAGCAGTCTGCTTAAGGAGACCCTGTCTCATATATGCATGCATACATGCATACATATATACATACATTTTAAAGAGATTTATTGAGTTTCTTGGGTTTTTTCTCTGACACTTCCTGTTTAAAATTTTACATTATTTGAAGAGTCTCTGTAATCGATTTATATTTCTTATGCATCCCTCCTTGGGTTTCTGTGTGAAAAACAAACCAACTAGTTTTTATTCTTACAAACTCTTTCTGCTTTCTCAGGGAATGGACCCTATCACACGTCAGGTGGGACAGCACATTGAAATGGAGCCGGAGTGGGAAGCGGCCTTCACGCTGCAGATGAAGCTAACACACGTGATTTCCATGGTGCAGGACTGGTGCGCTTTGGATGTGAGTTCCTTCATGGTGGGAGCTGTGAGGGAGAGAGTGGGTGGACGGACGCTTAAGTGGAAGCAAGAGTGGAGGAAATATTTGTACAGCTTAGCTCGGAAACTTCCTCTTCCACCTGTACATTCAATAAAGATTCAAAAGCTCAAATTCTGAAGTGTAATTTGAAAAAAGTCAAGGAGGATCATGCACACTCTTATGTAACTGTTCATTTTCCCCATAATCCTCCCTAGACATTAAGCCTATGAAAATAGTGGATACATTTATCCAAGAATAAACTTGCTTCTGCTATATTTACCTGTGTCTTAAAATAATTCTGGCCTTCCTTCATCAATAAGAACCTATAGAAATCGAGGGTCAGAGACTTCCATGAGACTTGAACAGTGTATAAAAACCTGCTGGATACAAAAAGGGATTTCTGACTGCATCATTCTGTGTGCTGAGAGGCCTGTGGTCATCCAGCAGCTTCTCAAAGCTGCTGGGAGCCTGGAGATGGAGGACAGGGATGGGCAGGACTGCCTGATATCAGTCAGGACCTTGAGGTCATTTAGTCACAGTCTAGTTGAAGTGGGAGGCTGCTGTTAGGGTCAACCTAACAGTGACATGGTCCATTTGTGTTTGTAAAGTTACTCTGTGGAGAGTGGGCGGATGGGACAAGGGTTGAAGCAGGGAGTTTAACAGAGAGATGGTTGCCAACGCCTTGAATTACTGGAGAATGAGAGACTAGCTAGTTTTGAGAGAACCTGAAAAGAGAAAGTTGTCACTTTGAAAATAGACTAGACAGCATGGACTGAGGTAAAGGACATTACTGGTAACTTCTAGATCTCCACAGCTTTCTTGGTAAGTGATGCCATCCACTGGACAGAAGAGGGATCTGTTCTGGGAGAGAGGACTGAGTTTGGTTTGGTCCATAGTACTTGAGGTACTTATTTGTCATGGAATTTGAGGTGCTAAGTCAATGTTGTAGCAACTCAGTCTTTTGAGTAACTTACGTTACAAACCCTCTTTTTTAGGAAAAAGTGTTAATTGAAGCTTACAAGAAATGCCTGGCTGTGTTGATGCAATGTCATGGCGGATTCACTGATGGAGAACAGCCAATCACACTCAGCATTTGTGGACACTCGGTGGAAACTATCAGATACTGTGTTTCCCAAGAAAAAGTTAGCATTCACCTCCCAATTTCTCGCTTGCTTGCAGGTAAAGCATCTCCCCTAAAAAAAGACCCCTAAAGTTCTCTCAGGTGACTGTTGATGGTGTTTATAAGCCTACTGTGTGCTAGCCGTTATCCTGAGGTTCACAGGTGTTCACTGCTGTGGTCATTCTGCTGGGAAGTGGAAGTCACCAGACTTGGTCCGCGGGTGGGAGGTCTGGGGCGGGAGGGAGGACCGGGGCAGGAGGGAGGACCGGGGGCTGGAGGACTGCGGCGCAGAGGTCCTTAGTGTCGGAGCAAGGGCCAGGCTGGCATTTTGGGGTGTTGGGCTTCGCATCCGAGAACACTGTACTGCAGCCCTGCTGCTTACACACACTACACAGACATCTCGGTGACTGAGCTCACAGTCTGTGACAAGTTCCAATCCCTCACTTTGAAGCCACTGCTCATAAATCGAAGGTGCTGTAGCTTTTCTCTCTAAACTCTTTCTTGCTCATTGACCTTTGAAGCAGAAGGTTACAAGTGAATGCCTTATTGATCTCAGGCTGTTTCATAAGCCACTTCCAATCACTGCACTACCTAAGACAGACACCTTGCAGCAGCCAGAGGCTGTGAGTGTGCTCCTAATTCTCCTGGCAGGTCCCTCACAGCATTGCTTGAAATCCCTTGATTCTGGATATCTTAGCCTACTTAAACTGTCCTCCCTTTAGTTCATCTCTTTTTTTAAAAATTATTTATTTATTTTTATTTTATGTACATTGATATTTTGCCTGCATGTATGTCTGTGTGAGGATGCCAGATCCCCTGGAACTGGAGTTACAGATAGTTGTAAGCTGCCATGTGGGTGCTGGGAATTGAACCCAGGTCCTTTGGAAGAGCAGCAGGTGCTCTTAACCACTGAGCCATCTCTCCAGCCTCTGCCTATAGTTCATTCTTAACTCAGAAAATAGTGACTTCCTGTTACCCAACACAGAACCTTTAATTAATGATTGTGGCTCGGTAACTTTTTTAATGTGGTATGAAGGTGTGCTTTGTTTTATTTTTGTATTTCTCAAGGAGAGACTATGGAGAATCCATACCATGGCTTCCTTAAATGTATATTGAAGAGGTTATTAATTACTAATTCAACTCCTTTGATAGATCATGGCCTTGTTGAGGTTATCCATTCCTTATGGGAGTATTAACAGTTTGTGTCTTCCAAGGGATTGGTCCATTTCATCTAAATTATTATGAGTTGAGTTGTTGATCACTTTCCTGTCATGGGATCAAGCAGTAACACTCCTTTCATTCTGAGAGTGCGTGTTTTGAGCATCATCCTGTTCTCTGGCTGGTAGCCTTCCACATCCCCAGTCTCTTGGGCATGTCCATAGGTTATAGTCTGAGACCACTTACACTGAGGCTTGTGAGGCTGTAAACATCTGGCCAGTGAACCAGTACAACAAGCTGTGGACACTGGCTGGCACCTGTGGTCCCAGGATTCAGAAGAGTTGCCATGAGTTCAAGGCCAGCCTGCACTGCAGAGTGAGACCCTGTCCCTAAGTAACAAGACAGAGAAAGGGAAGGAATGAAGAAAGAAGTACAGAAGGACAGAGGAGATAAAGTTCTGGTTGTAGGAGAAATGTCTCTCCTTCCTATGACTTGTTTATCCCGGGTTTGTTTTCAGCAACTGAAAACTGTTGGTCCAGTGTTAGACTAGAGGGCAAAAACGTGAGTCCCTTCAACTCAGCGACTTCCTGCTTTATCCCTCCAAACCCTGATTATCTGGGTAGAAGCTGAGGCTAATAATTCGCCACAGTGAAACAGCTACTACTCCAGAAATATACTAATTTCTGCCTGCGTCTTCACCTCCCTGAAGTCTGCCGTGAATAATCTGGGAGCATTCGTCTCCCAGGGTTAGCTGAGCCCTGCCCTGGATGTTTGTAGTCAGAGTAGAGAGCAGAGTACACACACGAGACACAAACAGTCCATGTAGCTGCCGTGGGGGCGCGGCGCATGCTTTGTAACCCAGCCCCTGGGAGGCAGAGGCTGGAGGACTGAGCACAGGTTTGAGACCAGCCGGGGCTGCATATCAACAAAACAAACAAAACCCACTTCACACACAAGGGGAGCCGGTGCTGGTGACGCCTCAGCAGTGACTGTTAACAGCTTACTAGGAATGGCCAGAGGTGAAGGAAGTGTCTTGGAGGCTTGAACAGAGGCTGGTAAATACTGAGACAGACTGTCCGCTTATCAGTGGATAATAAGGGAATGGCTTAATCTGTAGTCCGTGGAGTGGCCTGTGGTTGAGCTAAAAATGTTCCTCTCCTGGGTAGGAAGTAAATTGGTTCTGACTCTAAACTGGAAATTCTAAGGAACTTAATTGTGAGGTCAGGGTCAGCATAGACCATGAGTTCAGGGCCAGTTTCTCTGTTCAGTTGCCGGATGGATCTCAGCTTCCAGCAGGAATGAAGTCCATGGCCCAGGAGATACCTCCACACTGGCATAGTGTGTATAAATGGGTTTGATTGCTGTCGGGCTCTTCTGGCCCTTCTGTACATCCAGCATTTGCTTCTAAAATGTCTAAATGCAGTGTTAATGAAGAGGAGTTCTAACTGCCTCTGATGCAGATTTGTTGAAAGCTTTGTTTATAGATACATTGCATTTTATAACTTAATTTGTAATCCATTTCCAAAGATGATTTTTAGAAGTTAAATAGTAAAGCTGTGTGGTCACTGAGTCAGATAAACATTAGTTTTACTATAGAAATACCTTTTTGTTTGTCCTCCCGTGCAGGTTTGCATGTGTTGTTGAGCAGAAGTGAAGTGGCGTATAAATGTCCCGAGCTCCTGCCTCTAGTAAGTGGCTTTGACATCAGAAGAACATCTGCTCATTATGTTTGTTGTGTTTGAAACCAAACGGAAACAACTTATTAGTCTGGGTTCTCCCCAGAAACAGAACCAACAGGAGTGCGTGGAGTGTGTGTGTGTGTGTGTGTGTGTGTGTGTGTGTGCGCGCGCGCGCGCGCGTGTGTGTGTGTGTGTGTGTGTGTGTGTGTGTGTGCGCGCGCGCGCGCACATGGTGGGAGCAGGGGTAAGGAGCTGCTCGGAGGTCTTACCTCCTGCGTCTGTGGGGTTGGCAGTCAGTCTGTAGAGCATCCTGGCACACTGGAGTGCCCAGAGGACAGCTGGCATTGCAGTCACAAGTGCGGAGCCCATCCTGGAGGCAGAGTGCCTTCTTCAGAGAGCACACTTTTGAGGCGGGTGGGTGATCTCGGTAGGTGAGATCGCTTGTACCGGCAGAACCGGGACGAGCTGTTCACAGCAGCTCAGACCTGACAGAGTCCTGACAGAGACAGGAGACTGCGGGGACGCTCACAGGTCACAGCTGCCGTGAGAGCCTGCCCTGAACAAGGTGGAAGGCAAGAACCCATAGATAGCCGGGGTTTTCCTCTGACCTCCACACATGCACGTGTACGCGCCCCGCACAGAGAAACCTTCCTTTTTACGGCCTCCATCCGAGTTGATTAGGCCCACCCACTTTATGGAGGATAATTTGCCATTTTCAGACTTTACTAAGATATTATTCATATTATAAAGAATACCTCTCAGCTACAACTAGATTGGGCTGGCCATAAATAACCTAGCTAAATTGATAAAAAGTTAATTGTCACACAAATACAACTTAGAGTGATTCAACATACTATTTTGTAAGCTTTCCTTATGCAAATTTTAACAAGTTTTTTTTTTTTTTCAAACACACAGAGTGAACTGAGCCCACCCATGTTGATAGAGCATCCTCTTAGATGTCTTGTCTTATGTGCTCAAGTACATGCTGGGATGTGGAGAAGAAATGGCTTCTCATTAGTAAACCAGGTAAGTGAATTTTGTTTTTTAATTCTGTGATGTTTTGATTGTATTCATTAGCTTTTATGAGGCACTTTCACAGTCTTAAATGGTCTTAGTCATTGAAAGTTTGGAATCTGGGGTCTAGAGAGGGCTCAGCAGTGAAGAGTGTGTGCTGCTCTTGCAGAGGACCCTGGTTCAGTTCCCAGCACGCATGTCAGTGATCCACCACCTCTGTAACTGCAGCTCCAAGGGGCCTGACCTCCTCTTTTGACTTATGAGGGTACCCACACACATGTGGCATAGCAGACTGACAGACACACACACACACCCACACACACACATACAAATAAAGTCTCTTTTTAAAAAGGGTTTAATATCTGTGTTAAATTGTTAGAAAAATTAAATACAAGGTGAGCTAAGGTTTCTTAGGTCTTTTATATTCACCAGGGAAAGTGGAAATGAGTAGCAGTGGTCTTAACATTTACTTGAAACAAGTTTTAGGACAAAGTTGCATAGTAAAAAGCAGCATTTGTTTCGTATGCTTAAATTAGGTTAAACACAGGGTGTGTGGGCAGTGAGATGCTCAGTGGGTTAGAGCACTTGCAGCCAGACCTGATGACCTGAGTTCAGTCCCTGGCAGCCACGTTGGCCTGGTTTGCTTTTTACTGCCGTGATAAACACCATAACCGAGAGCCGCTTTGGGGTGGGTGTGAGTTCATCTGACAGCTCATCGTAGAGCTGAGTCAGCGACCATGGAGGAACACTGCTTAGCTGCTTCTGCAGCCCAAGGCCACTTGCCCAGCAGGGGCATTGCTCCCAGTGGCCAGCCTTCCCAGTCAGTCAGGAATCGAGAGAATACCCTGCAGACTTGCCTGTAGGCCAGTCTTACTGAGACAGGTTCTCGGTTTAGGTTCCCTCTTCCCATTTGACCTCAACTTGACAGTTGACAGGAAACTAACTGCACACATGTGGCAAAAGAAGACAGCAGCTCCTGCAAACTGTCTCTGACACCACTCACATGGTCCATGGTATATGTGCACACACACACAAGACATAAGTGCAGGGTAAAAGAGAC